AAACCAACACCAACTGTCCTCCACAGTTTTACAGTGTGCGTAAGATACAAAAACCCAACATATCTATCATCACTCAATAATATCTCCTTGCCATTACTTGTTTGCTTTAATTGATACCTATCCTGTTACCACTATGGGATAATGCTGAACATTATGTCCACAACTCAAAATATTTCAATGAACAACTCAAAACCCTACATACAAGATCTCAGGATGTTTTGATGTGCAGACCTATCCACTAACAATCCAAATGCATGATAATTCTTTAATAAAGAATTGACATTAAGATAAAAGCTATTATGGAATTAACCTCAGCTTGTCTATAATCCACATACTTTCAATAGAACACCTTCATTGGGAAAACAGTCAGCCTTGCCATGGGATCACCACTTTACCCAGTTTTAGCAGACATTTTCATGGAGGATTACGAAAGAATATTCACCTCTACAGAAAAGAAACCTGGCTTTTACAAGCACTACATCAACAACACATTTGATATTTGATTATTATCCTTCTTACATCTTAATGCTATAGACAACAGAATACACTAGGGAAAGTGAGGACAACAACAGCCTGTCATTTTTTGACATCCTCAGCACCAGACAGAATGACAAAATCACTATAAACATATAAAAAAAACCAACACCTGCTGACAGATACATTTCCAGCCTTACCATCCACATTATGTTAACTGCAGTATTATTAAGTGCTTGAACAATAAAGCTGAAACAATCTGTGATAAAAACTCCATCAAAACCAAATTGATACATCATACAACATTTTAAACAGAATAGGCACAACTTACGTTTCATCACCAATACCTTAAAGAACATACAGATACCAATTGAAACAACAAGAAAAAAAATAAGTAGAATACATGTAGCCAAAAAAGATCAACATGTCTGCTGAAAATCTTACAGAACACTCAAATCTGTCTTTGTCAAACTAAACATAGAACACTTGATAAAAAACAGAAAAATGATATTTACAAAATACCATGTTCCTGTAAACAAAGCTAGTTGGAGAAACTAGGGGGGGGGGGCAAGAATACAAGAAAATAAAGAGTGCGGAAGACGAATGAAAACACAGAACTCATCCCTGGCAGGACATGGCATGTTGACTGGATATAAAATAGATAGTTTCTGACACAGACTCATGTAAATTCTGGAAAACTAGAAAAATCAAAAAATCTTTCTATCTCAACATGCTTAAACCGTCACTAAACAGAGACTGATACCTGGAAATCAGCAGTTTGTGGCTAACACCGGTCAAATCACACTCATTCCCCCAACATGTTGCAAGAATCATCAGCCGTTCATGTTACATCTAATTTCATCCTCCTGGACACCATACAAACCACTACAAAAATCAGTGCTAGCTGACCTTAAAGCAAAAGATCAAAGCCATTTGAAACATCATCCTTTCTACCTACTTTTGCAGATTAATCTTCCAAATATTTTTCTACATGTACCACCTCAAACTGGGTAGTTGCTGCCCATTTCACTTTTTTTTTGTTAATTTGTCTCTAAGCAGTTTGCAAAACTTAAAAATTCATACATTTTTTCAAAACATTAATACAGAAAATTCAAATATATTAATAATCACTTATGCATATTTGTCTCAGATTCTTTTTAACAAATTTTCAGAAATAATTTAATAATTTTTATGCATGTTTTCACACTATAGCATGGTATAAACAGATACAAATTTCATTTACTATTTTGGGAAGTTTGTGTTATGTTTCTGAATCTGCAGCCTACTAGTCTGTAATGCAGTCCTTTAATTAGGTACATGCGTTTAAACATAAAACAAAACAAAACAGACCTAGGTTCTGTCAACACTGTACTAAGCAGATGCAGGATTGTTGAGGTGAAGCTTCACAGTCTAATGTTAAAATATTTCAGGGAAGTGCTTTGCTTACTAAACCTGATAACCCTCAGTGTATGTATATATATTTAGAACTCTAGGAGGTCTTTGTTTCCTGCACCTCTGATAGTATTTCTGGTTCATTCCAGTTTATATTTTTTATTGCCCCTTTTATGTAAAACAACTACTGAAAACTTTATATAGAAGCTTACAAAAAACACTTTCTACTTTGCCTTTACAATGATTTTTGTAACACTCCATATTATTTCCTGCCCCATTATTTTACTAGCTATACTCGAAGCAAACAGTATATAAGTTAATCTCACATGATGTCAGCAGATATGTGCATGATAATATTAAGTAAAAATTCCATATTGATACCCCCCCCCTCTTCTAAAACTATGTTCAAAAATTTTTACAATAATGTATTTGTGTCTTGTGTAGATTTTACCATCCAGGAGATTCAGATTTTTAAAATAATGGAGGATTTATATTATAAAAGAAAGGAGTATCATAACTTAAGAAATAAAATGTTAACATACTATTTCAGAAGAACATTAATCCAACAATTGTTTTCCATGCTTCATTTATTGCTCGTCAGTAATTAACTTCTGAATAAAATATGTTTTAGTATGTGTAACTGGACGTATAATCTCAGTACACAATGTAATTGTTAGTAATACTCAAGCATAAAAAATACAGCATAATGTATTTATTTTATTGTCTAATCAAATGCCTGCTAATAAGTGTTCACAAATATCACTAACTGTAGGAAACTTATGGTATGCTTTAAAAAAATTTGAGTGTTTAAAGTGGCTTGAAAAAAGTGTCAGTGAAGAAGTGGGGTATTAGAGGATAAGGGCAGTAACTTGAGGTAAAATATACTTGTGCTATAATTGAAGACTCTAAAGCCAAATACACTGTCATGCAAAACCAAAGAGGTGTTGTTAGGATGAGTTTCAGCACTTTTTTATTAATTATTTTTACGGTATTTTATATCATCACTTTTTAATAAGTGGTGGTATGAGAGGTTAATAATACTTGAAAGCCAAACCTGAAATTTAAACATGCCTAATTAAGAAAAGCAATGGTAAGCATGATCTTGGCAAAGCTCAGAACAGTCCCTGCTTTTTAAAAAATAAACCAGAATTTTAAATCCACACCTTCAGGTATTGTATCTGTAAACTTCCATAAAATCACCTGTACCCTTCTTTTCTCAAGAAAAAATAAGAGATCTTAACCAATCCTTATAACAATCTTTACATTCCAAAAATCATACTACTACTACTACTACTATTACTATCATGAGTGATATCAGAAAAAAAATCCAGTATCAAGTTCCTAAGACTAAAAGAACAATATCTCTTATTCACAAAACACGTTACTATGAGCCTTTTCCAAAGAAGTCAATAACCTCAGATAAGAAGACCAAACTGTACACAGTATTTCAAGTGATGATGTCTAACATTCAAAAAATTGATATAAAATTAATTTACAGGAATTTAAAATCTACAGAGTCTATGACTAACCTTTAATAATCACAAATGCCACTAACATGAAACATCTTAATTGGTATAGAGATCTTAAAAAATAGCAACCATTACCAATGAAGAAACAAATATAAACTAATACAAGTGAATAAAAAACAAAAAAACTTAGACAACAAAACATGATGATAAAACAAGGTATATAAATTTAGGAAAATAACTAACATGGTAAAGTTATTTCTATTCTAAATCTAACCAAAAAGACTACTTTCCAACAACTTCAAAAATATGTGGTGACAAAATGCAATTTTCACATAAAATACATTTCAATACCCCTACAAAATAATGTTTATTTTACTATTCCCTCATCTACTGAGACACTACAATCAGTTGCACAATAAAACTTGATAACGAGGAACCTACTTTTAAGAAAATTTTTGGTTTTTTTTCAGTTGCACATTATTTAATCTTTTTGCTAAAATTAACTACTAACTTCAGTTATTCATGTGTAATTTACTATTATCACAATACACCTAGTTTGTTACAGTCTTGTATAAATCATCAAAATTGTTGGATAAAAGTAAAAGTAAACACATCATGGTCTGCATGTAATCGTAAGCACTACTTAATAGACTAATACTCTCCACTTTGGTCACTAACTTCAAACTTTGAAAAAAAAAATACTTTTGGTAAAGCACATTTAAAATAAATAAATAGAGTAATTTTACATATACTTCCCTATTATTAAGTATTTGTAACTTAATATATGATTGAGGCTATTAGAGTGACAATTTCGGTCATAGCTTTTATGTTATATTGCAAGTTACAAAAATGAAACATGAACAGATGGTATATTTTTATTTACAAGAAAAATATCATATATCTATTTAATTTTTGTAGTTATATGAATAAATTCATTGTAAGTCTCCAAAAAGTAAGAGAACAATATCTCCCACACAAAAAACAGATTAATAACTCTAAGCAAGTCTAATCATGTAACACAAGTTTTACTTTTAGTTTTATCATTATAATTATATTTTACATTTTAATTTTAAGATAAAATAATTAAAATCAAGTTTTTTTTTCCATAAACTAAGAGTAAAATCTCTTTCACCCATTTTAAAACAAAGGGAAGCATTTTAAATTTTCATCTTTTAAGTTAAATAAACTGAATAGTTTTTTAACTGGGTAATTCACGAATGCCACCATGAAAAAAAAAAAAACTTAGGTTAGATCACTCCAACTTATAAGTTATAGTTATGGAGTACTCAGTAGTCGCAAGATTATTATAACAATACAACTTGTAAGGTAAGGCTACTATTAATATTAGTGATAAAAGTAAGCTAAATTTTTTTTCGCATTTTCTCATCATCGATGTTTAGGTCTTATACTTATAGATCTGGGAGAGACATATGCAAATAACCTCTTCCTCCCTAAATCATAACTACCTCATCAAAACAAAACTTGAATAGCGCGGAAAAGGATGATTGAAGTCAGAGCTTAGCTATCACTGTCAGTAACGAAATGGGGCAACGCAGTACAAACGGCATTTGACTTTAAGTGTTTCATTTCTCGAATTTACATTTGCTCTAACTCCTATAACTTATAGTATAAGTAACAACTAAAACTTGGATTTTTCTTACTTACATCTATAAGGTATGAAAAGTTGCTCATCTTCTTTTTTTTAAAAGCACAGCGACAAAATAAACCCAATCTGGAAGTTGAAGCCCATCTAACACAAGTAACAGCCATTGTTAGAATGAAGATAAAGTTAGCCTATGGCACAAATACATTTTACTGCTACCGCTAGTGCTAAACCTTTGCATACGTTAAAATACATGCCATGTTTCCTCTACTCTAGTAACACGCGACTTAAAAAAGTCAGCAAATAGAAATAGACCATCTTAAAAAGAAACTGTCATGGTATTTATGCATTTCTGCGTTAATATTATTTTAACCCCACATATTATACTTATAACTATTGCTAGAATGACAATTAAATTAGCCCGTGGCACAAATTCATTTTACTGTTACCGCTATTGCTAAACTTTTGCATAGGTTAAAAACCCATGTTACGTTTTCCTTTACCCTAGTACAATGTTATTTAAGAGAAAAAAAATCAGCAAATAGAAAAGAGTCATCTAGAAAACATTTGCCATCATATTTACACACTTCTGTTATTATTATTTTTGTATTTATCACGTAAATTAAGAAAAAAATTACTATAACGTGTTTTCTTAATTTTACTAATCTGTTTTAATTGATAAATGTACCATGTATTTCTGAAATTTTATACTTCAAGAAAAGTTACGAAGTTTTATGTTGTATATCACAGCTTCATAAAACATGAAAAATGAATTTAAAGCTTGTTTGTTTGTATATGGCATATATTTGTATAGGGCTGCCGTCCCTAATTTTGAATTGCCAATCACAGGGAAGGCAACTAATGTTTGTTTTTTTGTTTGTTTTTGGAATTTCACGCAAAGCTACACGAGGGCTATCTGCGCTAGCCGTCCCTAATT